GTCAGACCAGAACGTCAATTTCAGAAGCAAAACGGGGCGTGCTTTCCAAATTTAGATTCAAATTCACCTCAGCGTTGCGGAGTGCGCTGATGACCCATAAAAATGTTTGAGTAGCTGGCTGCACTTCTACCAATCCTCTCAGAGGCACCAAACCAACAGCACAAGGCAGCTATCTGCCAGCTGAATGCAAATGAGGATCTCATGCGATGCGGCCGCAAAGGCCTTCTCCTCACAAGACCCAAGTTCCAAGAACACAGCCGCCCTAGATCCAAAGGCCTTTAGCATGAGAGGACTGACGGTCTTGCCTCTATTCGGGACACCTACCGTCAGACCTACCTTACGGCTGTGGCCACAACCCTCATGCCACGTTCAAGCTGGGTACAATGGTTACTGCCACCAGGATTCGGGCTATAGCTGCTTTCATCAGACGATTCGAGTTCCACAGCTTAAGACCATCCATCCCGGTAATTGAGTCAGGGCGCCCAGGAGCATCCAATCATGAAGCCGAAAGTCCGCACCTTTGATTCACGATTTATAGCTGCAAGATATTGGAGCTAACAGCATTTTCAGCTTTGCAACCCCGCAGTACCTGAGCCTATGGAACCGAGCATGAAATAAAGGCGCCAAAAAGCTTGCATTGGGGATCTCAGCGTGGGCCCTGAATGGGATGTGGCCCAGCAAGCACAGAAGCGGCATCTACCAATAGGAAATTGCCCCCCTCTTCACAAGAGATGCCAGCACAGGCAGCTCCCAAAACCAAAAGTCAACTCTGCACACTGGCCCTTCTTGAGTGAGGATGCAGGACATATGAGTACGAGAAGCAGATTGGCCCTACTCAGATGATTCTTACCTCCATACTTCAGCCCTTTGTTCATGCTTGGACCTGGGGTCGCTGCTAGGGCTTCTGCCTCTGGCTCTCCGATCAAGTTGAGATCCTGGATCAGTGTCTCGACTTTGGCCACCGGCATGCTCAGAAGGGATGATGGGATCCGTTTGCGCAATGTTTTCGTGATACGTGGCGGCCCTGCCAATTAGTCACACAATCCTCTGTCTGTGAGGCCGCATTGCATTCTTAGGAAGTCTGTCTGATTCTGATTGATGTGCTTGAAAGCCTCGCCAGTTTTGAACGGAGTATAACGAGTTCAGCTGTGATTGAAAGCTGTCTCCTTTCAAGGATACTGAGGGGGCATGTTTGGCAAAACAGCGTCGTCAAAGGTGTAGCTAAGCCTAAGCTTGCTTGATTGTTCGCTTAAGCAGCAGAGGGTCTGTCACTGATCTTTCAAGGCTGGGGATACATTTAGCATCTTCTTTGGAGCCAGAGGTTGATTAGCACTCCAAAAATTCTGCAAGCCTGAACTCTGATTGGTGTTACGAGTATGGAGCTACGAAACAATCAACGGCTCCGAGTGGGTCAGAAGATACTTGAACACTCAAGCAATCTGACCTCTGCATATTATGGGAATTGGTCTCTGCACCAGCAGAAGTAGCATGCACGCCGCGATCTCACTGCTACCTTGATAGTGTTACCCTTTCGGCGGATTAGCGTCGGCTTGGCTATGCGCGTTGTGGCCCGCAATTGGTACATTGCAAGTTGCCGCTGGTTGGTACTTGTTCGCTCTCCCTTGTCTTATAACTACCTTAGGTACTATGTGAAGTGATGCGACGTCTTCATCTCCAAGGCTCTGCTAGCTTGTCCACAAGGATGAGCAGGCCACCTGGTGACTTGCTGAAAGCACTCTTGCCAACATCTCCACACGGTCGAGAAAAGCTTGTTTCAAGAAAAGCCAGGCCACACCCCAGAATGGTGCAGAACACCGCGCTGGTGACTCGGATGCACGTCTCATCGATCAGGAAAAAGCCTGGGTCCCCAGACGATGGGCAAGGCTCGGATTCCGAGCAAACCAACCCCAGCCCAACTTTCACTTGTTTTGCTGACCAGAAACACACCAACCACTTGATCAGCGCAGCTGATGTCCACGCTGTGGTGAAATTCAACCTTGACGAGCAAAGCAGGCTTTCCCAGCTCAGGCAGCAATGCTCCAGACTTTAGCTCTCAGCAGCAAGACGTACGAGCAAAGAGCCTGGATTGCTCCACCAAAGGGCTGGAATTTTGGAATCAAACTTGCAGGGCGTTTAGAGTTGTCAAATTTTGCGCGGGCGTTGCACTGGTGCCCTTCGCGTGAGATTCTTTCAGTCCCGGTAAACCACGGAACCAAAGGGCCGTGAGCCTCAATCAGGCTACAAAGTGCTTCCGAAGCCTTTTGAAAGGTCCTTGGGTCTTCACCCGAGGCAGTCGTTCTGAGTAACAAGCATGGGATGGATCCCAGTCTGAATGATACACTGGAAATGATGCCAAGCAGCAGCGTCAGGTAATGTTTGTAGCCTGAGTTTTGGATGACGTACGGCGCTGCGCCTGGGAGACGGTCTGAATTGATCATTGATTCTGCCCGAGGCGGCCGAGCGCTTTGGGTTACGCAGGATGCTGCTGAGGGCTCTGGCACAGTACCGCATGCAGAGGACACTTCACAGTTTCCAAAAACTCATGAGGTACGAGCTCGGTTCCTCAACTAAACAAGATGCTTGGCATGTATCTTGTTGATGGCTGGTTGACCTTGAAAATTGTACGTCAGCGTTGCCCTCAAGCCCCTGAAGGCAACATGGAGCTGTCCTTGCAGAACTGCGAGGATGCCGTAGATACCCATCACTACCGCACCTCAAGCCGCAAGTGTGCAAGCACGCAGGGAGCTTGTCCGAAATGATATGTACATGCTTGATCCTTGGCTTGCCCATAACCCTTTTGATGAAGGACTATTGGCAAAAGCATTCTACTCACTGTGCCGGGCGGTTCAATTGATCAAGGTTTTGTTCTCGTTCGTCATACAGCCGGCAGGGCTTTGCCCTCCGGGAAGGCTTAACCTGAAAACTGCTAGTACGGGTCCAAAATTGGCACAGCACACTGATGAAGCTCAGGAGGGTCGTGTAAGCATTTACAAGGCTCGGCTTTTAACCGAGAAGCTCAGGTGATAGATGAAGTTGAGGTACTCCTCTGTTTTCCTCATGAGCATAAGCTCACCTGCAGCCGCAGGCTTAGGGAAAAGGAAAAGGTGGAATGACTCCACAAAGGAGAATGTGGTGAAGCACACATCAAGCACCCATTGCTTTGTCAACATCTGCGAGGAAGACGCAGTGCACACATGAGCAGACGTGCGTGCCGCTGGGTAAAGGCTAGCCTTCGGACATCGCACCATAATCGAAGTGACACCAGAGAAGCAGCGAGGAGACAATCCTGATTCAAGCCATCACCCTCCCTCAGTTTCACTCGGGACTCTCTAGGAGCATCAAGCTGACTTGTCAAGCCGGGGATCCAGTTCTTGGCAAGGTAGCTGATCAGGATGCATGCCTCGCCACACCAGCTTGAACACTAGGCAACGTCACCTCCCCCAATCTCGCCTGATGACTGCGGCCTTATGACTGACATACTGTAGCCTAGGGGCAGTCAGACAGAGGACAGAATTTTCGCAGCTGTTCTGGATAGCACCAGGTACTACGTAAAACCGGTAGTTTAAACTCTGCGCAGGACAAGGCGTACCTGGCAACGCAGGGTCCTCATCAGGCCGAGAGGCGGCTTCCACGTTTGCCTCCTCCACTTCTTCCAGGAACTCTGCCTTCTGCGAGCTGCTGGGGGCGTCAAGCCGGACCATGTGGATCTTTGAACATGAAGAGGTGAAGAAAACATGTGGCCGCCTCGGACAAATAGCCTTGCCTGAGCCTTTTGAAACTTGTTGATCGATGCCTTTTGGATCGGTTGATCCTTTCACTACGGAACACGATGTGTCGTGACAAGCTTCGACTTAATCAGAGTCTGGAACGAAGGAGTGTGGAACGGTAGCTCGCCGGTGAATCCGTACCCAATGGATCAGGGGTATGGAACACATGTCCGCGCGCTCCTTGTTCTATACCACGCGTTGCAGGCAACATCCGTTCGGGCTAGTCACGACAAGCTTTGGAAGGCTGTGCCCTGGCTGAGGTATCACGGAGCTTACTTAGAGCGTGAGGGTCTCAGGTCTCACGAACCCACGTTACACTCGTTCTTGCAAAAACTGGAGTGGGTCCTGGCTGCCTGGACGGCAGAACAGATCCTCGAACCCCTTAGACTTGGCCGGAAGCTCAACCTGCCTCCGTGAGCGACGAGTGGTGCGCCTGCCATGAGAAAGGAGGATTTGCCACTACAACGCGTGCTGACATCAGACCATTGACTTCTCAAGCACTGGGAATGTGACTTCTATCATGGGGACTCCAAAACGCGAAAAAAGTGCCACTGATTCTGGGACATCCTCACTGCGCAGGTACAGGGTTGTAAGTTGTGAGACAGCACGAATCAGCACGACAAAGTCCATGTGCTCAAGCTTTCCGGATTGCTTATTCTATCTGCTTGCAGTTGGAGGCCAAACATGGGTTGGTGCTGGCATAGGGCTTCAAGGCCAGTCAGGGCCGAGGCCGGATTGAGGCTGGGGCTTCCAGCTAATGATAAGCGGCTCTGGAGCTCACAACAACAGCCATTCGGACGGACAAGACATTACTGGCAGTGTCGAGCCTCCACGTGTTCGGCTGGCGTCTCTTCCGGCACGCTGATGTAACGGTGCAGCTGAGTCAGAGCATTTTAGGAAGGTCCCAACATGAGGTCTGAGAAAAAGCCAGTTCTGCTTTCGCACAGAAGGGCAAACACAAGCACCTCACACCCTTCTCTAGCAGTCTGCACAGACAAAAGAGGCAGGCCGAGGTTCGACTGTCTTGGTGAGGAAGAGAACACCCCGCGCAGCAATGGCCAGCACCAGCAACAGCACGAATTCGAGGGAGATCATCATGGTGACCTCCAAATCATGACCGTCCACAAACAACCCATTGAACGTGAGTGAGGCATGCAAGACATTTGTTTTAGAGACCAGTCGAGCCGGAACCGCTGACCGCATGAAATCGAACACCTTCAAACCCGCGCACCACTAGTCTTGTAATCTTCCCGCTCGCTTTCTGGACTGCTTTTGGACTCCAATCAAGTACGAGGAACACACCTGCAACATCCCCATGACCATCCAAGCGTCGCTGCTCATGGCTTTTGTGGCCACTCGCACTAGCGCGAACAGCTGGTTGCAAACGGCAATGCCAAGAAATGCCTCTGCAAGACTTGAGGCGCAGTTTGAGCAGTCAACCAATTGGATTTCGTGGGTTGAATTTGCTTGCGAATTGGGCTTCAGAAGTTAGACCCCATCAAACCCAAGCCCTGAAGCGAAACAACTGCAGCGCCAGCAAAGAAAGGAGGACAATTGTCTCCGAGCTAATCCCAGAGATCCCAAAAGCTTGAACTGCTGCGAGGCACGGTGACATGGGCCAGGATGTGCAATGCGGCGGCGAAGTTCACGTGTGAGCCGCGCAGCGGCCATGCAATCAAAGGAATAAGGACCCAGTGCAGCAGAAACCTTGGCCCATCCAGACTTGCAAAAAGCCTCCCAACACAACTTCCTGCAAAGCAGCAACGAATTAGGTAGACGCAAGAGGCTGTGATGCATCATGCTTCATCCCGATTACTTAGAATTGGGGGGGTAGAACACCATGATGTTTTTTTTAACTGTTCAGCACCCCATGCTGACCATGGTGATATTGAGTCTCGACAGTGCAAAGGTTTCAGTTCTGGTCCAAAAACATCCGAAAACATCCGTGTTGGGAGCACCGCGTAACAATCTTATTGAGGGAGCCTTGGGGGGGGGCCCAGATTTATCAGAGTCCAAGAACTACGGCAGCCAGGACACAGCGGGGTTCCCAGCTTCTTCATGTGGAAACCACTTACTGCCTGAATGCAAGGCTCATTGAGTTTTCAGCCTATCAGGTCTTGGCGGTGTGCAGGTGGCCTTTCTGAAGGATTCTCTGCTCACAAGCAGTGCAGAATGTAAAGAAACAGCAGCTGCTCAAAAAGTTGCTGAGCTCGAGGCAAGTCCGAGCTCCGCATGCTCTATGGAAAGGGCCTCAGAGCCAGTTGGTTGGGGGGTGGGATTTGTGACAGTGAGAAGAAGCTCTACCGGAAGCCAGACTCCAACAAGCTCCACAAAAATGTTCAGTGACTGAGCTTAGATCTGAGGTGTGGGGATTTGCGAGCCCTCGTCAGGAGATGCAATGTGGTGCCACACGTGATGAGTTCCTTTTTAGTGGCCCTATGCAGCTCATTGTGGCCCTACTAGCAACACCAAGGACCCACAGTTGCAGACGAATCTATCTGCAGACTCTCTAGCTCGCGGCCCAGCATAAGCTGTAGCTGGCAGTAGCATAAGCGACCCCGCAGCTACTTGTAGCACGTGTTACGATGAAGGGACCAGCCTGTCTGCGTACTACCTACACATACCGCATACAGCCCAGGCCAACGCCATAAAGATCGCCATGCAGGAGCTGATGGTCCTTGGCTCCGAGGGGGTCGGGGTCAGGGACTAGGGCTTGTTACCGCCCGACACGCCACCCTACTATATCAAGCTGGCTGCGCTAGTAAGTTCAATCTGCGATTGACCGCTGACAGCAAGGGGGCTGCACAAGGTTGAAGAAAAGCCGCATGCAAGTTTGCAGAATTAAGAACATCACGCACAAGCAGATCTAAAGCAAACCGGCTTCTTCACGCTGTAGCTGCGCACCTGTCAGCAATGCTGGCAGCTTGGAATGTTGCAAACATAGGACTGCTGCGGCCGTCATATTTGCATGTTGTCCCGTGGACAGCAAGTGCCCCCTAATCCTTTCAATGGGGGACAGGCAAAGAAGCCAGCAAAAATGGTATGAGACGGTAAGTGTATGGGAGACACGGAAAGGTCGAGTTAAGAGGTTGAGAACCGAACGAATGAGGCAGGGTGTGGACAAGCAAGGGAGCAGGAAAGTAGTTTGCCAAGGAAGGAAATTGAGGCCTTTGTGAACATGCAAACAGCCAGATAAAGTTGCAATCCGAATGGAGAAAGACCTCGGTGGCGTGTGCGAAGACTTGTTATTGTTAACTTGAGAGCAGCGCGCACGAAAGCTAGACTACAGCAGCTGAGGCAGGATTTTTTTCTCGTGAGGAGAAATGTGA